AGGAAGGAGATTTGGGGTAAATAAACCTTTCTTTATTTCTCTCCCGTCTAGGTTACAAATTTCAGGAATACATCTAATGGATGGGACCTGAGTAAGCTGGTTGTTGGGAGATTTGAGGGTGGGATTGGGAGGTGATGATTCTGAGAAAGCTGGGTGACTGGAATGGAGGGAAAGGATAATAATGAGGTAAAAATGAAGAACATTGTATAGCTGAAGTTTAGGCATAAAACTGAAGCATATTTTGTAGGATGGGATACAATTCATGTAGTCAAATGTTGTTTAAATGAAATTATACTAAAAAATAGATTTCCTGGGTAATGCAAAAGGAGTCCTGGTGGCATAGTGGTTACAAGTTGGGCTGCAATGTACAAGGTCAGTACTTCAAAGCTATCAGTTGTTCCTTAGGAGAAAGATGAGGCTTTCTACTCCCATAAACAATCATGTAAACCCACAGGGTAGTTCTACCCTGTCCTATAGGGTCACCATGAGTGAAAATCAACTCGATGGCAATGTGTTTGGTGTTTTTGGTTGGGTGATGTGGAAAGCCTTGGAACTGAGTAAGATGCCCTTTTTCTAGCCAAAAGCTCAGACCACAAGTCCGTATCCTCCACCCATGCATATCCTCAGGAAATAGCACACAATTCCACTAGTGGCAAGGAGGGGGTAGGAGGACTGGTAGGGAGTGATCAAGGGCAATGTAACCGAGAGGAATTACTGAAACCCAAATGAAGGCTGAGCATAATAGTGGGACAAGAGGAAGGCAAAAGGAAATAGTGGAAAGAAGTAGGAGGCAAAGGGCATACATAGAGGTCTAAATACAGGCATGCACATATGTAAATATATTTATATATGATGATGCGGATATAGATCTATGTGTATATATTTATAGGTTTAGTAGTAAGGTAGCAGATGGAAATTGGTCCTCCACTCATATACTCCCTCAATACAAGAAAACGTTTCTTGACCAAATGGACATTCCATGACACCCACCTTCCCGACATGATCACTGAAGACAAATGAGTGCATAAGTAAGTGTGGTGAAGAAGGCTGATGGTGACCAACTATCAAGAGATATAGCATCTGGGGTCTTAAAGGCTTGAAAATAAACAAGTGGCCATCTAGCCCAGAAGCAACAAAGCCCACATGGAAGAAGCACACCAGCCTGTGTGATTACGAGGGGTCAAAGGGACCAAGTATCAAGCACCAAAGAACAAAAAAATCATATCATTGTGAATGAGGGGGAGTTCAGGGTGGGGATCCAATGCCCATCTGTAAGCAACTAGACATCCCTTTGCAGAGGGGTATCGGAGGAGACGAGTCACTCAGGGTGCAGTGTAGCATCGATGAAACCCACAGCATTCCTCTAGTTTTTAAATGCTTCCCCACCCCACCACTATCATGATCCCAATTCTACTTTACAAATCTGGTTAGACCAGAAGATGTACAGTGGTACACATAGGAACTGGAAATACAGGGAATCCAGGACAGATGAACCCCTCAGGACCAGTGGTACGAGTGTTTATACCGGGAGGGTGGAGGGAAGGTGGGGTAGAAAGGGGGAACCAATTACAAGGATCTACATATAACCTCCTCCCTTGGGGATGGACAAAAGTAAAGTGGGTGAAGGGAGACGCCGAGCAGTATAAGATATGATAAAGTAGTAATGGTTTATAAATTATCAAGGGTTCATGATGGAGGGGAAAGTGGGGTGAGGGAAAAAAATGAAAAATGAGGAGCTGATTCCAAGAGCCCAAGTGGAAAGCAAATGTTTTGAAAATGATGAGGGCAGCGAATGTACTAATGTGCTTTACACAATTCATGTATGTATGGGTTGTGATGAGAGTTGTATGAGCCCCCGATAAAATTATTAAAATAAGAGAATGAATTTGGGGTTTTCACTTCATTCTAGCCCCAATCTATGAACAATTAGTTCTCATGACATGTCCCTTCTCAGTGCTCAACCTCATGAAGCTATGAGTGCTATAGCAAAGTGTGATGAAGAAACTACATGGTACCTGGTTCTCAGAAAGAACAATGTCCAGGGTTTTCAAACAAGCAGTCATCTAAGTGAGATACCAATTAAGTCCACATGGAAAAAGCACACCAGGCTGTGTGGTCCAAGGATTGTAAATAATATAATCCAAATCTAAAGAAGGGAATGGTATCAGAGCTTAAATTGTGAACATCTGATTTGCAGAAGGCTATGGATGATGGTAGAAGCTCAAAATCTATTTGCAGAGACCACACATACATTAAACCTCTGGTAAATCCCCTCCAATCAAATTGAGCAATATAAACAGCCCTGTTATCAGACAGAGAACACTGTAAAGTTGATTATGGTAGACACAGGTCAAAATGTACTATCTCCCTTTAGACCCATTTTAAAGCTGTTTCAGTTTTTTTTTTTTAAATGAAAGGGAAATACACATGGATTAAGCCCTTGGAGAATCTCCATGGAGCAGGGTGTGAATAGCCTTGCTAACATGAAGACTGCATTGGAAAGTGAATTGTTGCAGATGCAGCTAGGTGCAAATTTAGCACCCTATCATTTGATCTCCCTTTTCGCCCATTTTAAAGCTGTTCCATTTTTTTTTTTCAGTGAAGGGGAAATACGTGCAGATTAAGTTCCTGGTAAATTCCCTCTGCCCATGGACCAGGAATGGGAAGCCTTGGTAACATGAAGAATGCATTGGAAAGTGGATTGTTGCAAATGCAGTTGTTAAAATTTAGCACTCTATCATTTGATCTGCCTTATGACCCATTTATATTTGCATTAGGTTTTAATATTTTGTTTTCTTTTCATTTTAGGTTTTTGTCTGTTTTACTTTGTTATTCTTACTCATTTGTGTGCTTTTAAAAAGTTTTTCTGTATATGCAATCCAGGATAGGTAAATCTGTAAAGACAGTAACTGGATTAATGGTTCCTTGAAGGCGTGCGTGTCAGGGGAGGTTGAGGGGAAATGCAGAGCTAATAATGATGATCACAAGAATGAAGACAGTGTTCTAAAACTGATTATGGTGATGATTGTACAACTAACTCTTCATGATGCAATTGAACTATTGAATTGTATGATGTGTGAATTTTATGCCAATAAAACTTTTGAAAAAGAAAAGAAACAGGAAACAGGTAGGATGTAGAACAAGTGATTTTAAATTGTGAGGATTGCAATCAATGACATGAAACAAAATATGTATGAATTACTGAATGAAAACTTGATTTGCTCTGCATACCTTCATTCAATTCAAAATAAAAAGTTGCCAAAAGAAAAAGAAAAAAAGAAATACTGTGTAACTATTTAACAACAGATTTAGTCAGGCAGAAGAAAAAAATAATGAAATTACAGGATGCAGTAGTAAAAAATACAGAGGCTGAATAGCACCTAGAAGGTTGGTCAGAGTTTAATGGAATTATGGTGGAACATTAGAGGGGAAAAAACCTATATAGGCAAAATAGGAATTCCAGAATGGGATAAGCGAGACAAAGTGACACAAAGAATATTTTAAGAAATAATGTCAGAAGATTTCCCAATCTGAAAAAAAGACAGGAATCTGTAAATCTAAGAGTCAAAAAACTCTGAATAGGGCAAACACACTACAGCAAGACATATAAAGTTTTAAAACAGTAAGGATAGTTTCCGGGTTAAGATGACCACCTACCAAGATATACTACAGAATTCTTTGACAAATAATAAGTGAAAAAATAGAAGATAGTGGTAGAGGGTCAATTGCCACATACCCACCACTGTTCTCTGTGACTGAGATGAAAAACAAAACAAAGCAAACTCACTGCCATTGAGTCACTTCTGACTCACAGTGACCCTGTGTGTTTCTGAGACTGTAATTCTTTATGTGAGTAGAAAGCCTCCTCTTACTCCAGTGAAGCAGCTGGTTTCAAACTGCTGGCTTTGTGGTTAGCAGCCCAATTGCATTTGTTTCATTTTGTGCCGCTATTATTGCTATGTATCTTCACTTCATAATATTGCTTTCTCCCAGAGCTCCAAAATCTAAGGCATCATTTAGAAAAATATTCTTTGTGGATATTGAAAACCACATAGCACTGTGATGCTAGCAGAGAAAAACCCCTTTCAACCAAAGCAGAGAACTTACAGACCATTCAGACTGAGACCCAAAGATATGTCCCAAACCGCACAAGTAGTGGTGGTACTAAGTTAAGACCAGAATCCAAGTCAGATATTACCCCAAACATGACTTTCACCCCAAACATATCGCTGTGCAACATTACAACTGGTACCAATTTGGAAGGTAGGTCCCCTGGGTACTTACTACACAAACTGATTTTATTCAACACAATTTGGGATATTTGTTCTGCAGCTCTTCAGTGTCCATTGTATTTCAGGGTTAAGTATTGATTCATTATAATGAAAAGTCTACTTACCAGTGCATTTTCAGTACACTAGGAGCCCTGGTGGTGTAGTGGATACGAGTTGGGCTGTGATCCACATGGTCTGTATTTCAAAACCACCAGCAGCTCCGTGGGAGAAAGACCGGGTTTTCTACCACAATGGCAGCAAGAGAGAATCACAGTCTAGCCCAACCCGCCAAGTGATGCAAACGGAAAATTCCTCTTGCAGCCTTCTCACTCCCTCATCATCTGGGAAGACGGACAGAGTAGAATTGCCTGATAGGGTTTCTGAGGCTGTCATCCTTATGGAAGCAACTGTCCCATCTTTCTCCCCTAGGCTAGTCGTTTGTAAGCGCCCGTTTAGCAGCCAAGCACTTGAACCACTGCACCATAAGGGCTTCTTAAGAAGCAGGTAAAAAATTGGCGGAACCTTAAGGCTGAGCGCGTGCAGCTAGTACGGTTGCTTTGCAAAGAGAGCATTTCCGGCCCAGTGACGACATTACCCACCTGTAGGACGTACGCCAAGCTCTAGCGTTTCTATTGGTTTCGCTATGTTGGTAGGCGGGCTTACGTCACCGTCACGCTCTCCTATTGGATGCTTGAGCGGCGGTCCTTTGGAGTAAGGAAAGCACGTTGTACTGAAGGCTGTGCTGAGGGCCGCGTATCTCGGCCTAGCTCCGTTTCCAGTGTCTTTGTGGGGTTGTAGGACCAGGTCAGGTTTGGATTCCCGGGAGATGGATCGTGTGTGGAGTGCGTGGTGCGGCAAGTGCGCCAAAGGGAAAAAGTCGTCGCCCCTTTGGACCCAGCGCATCGTGGTCGCCTGGCTTAACAAGGCCGAGTGGGACCAGGTGATGGTGTATCTGTTCTGCGAGGACCATACATTACAGCGGTACGCTCTGAACCGTATTACCGTGTGGAGGAGCAGGTAAACTGGCGGGCCCTGCCGTCCTTCCTCTGTGCTGCTGGGGCTTCACCTCATTCTTTGTTGCTGTTGTATAATATAAGGCCCTATCCTTTGGTCTAAGTTGCCGAATGATGCCTGTATGTGTACTTTGGGCCTTGTACCTCTTCCACGCTCCTGGGGAAAAGCCGCAGCCAAGATCTTGCAGGCTTCATCCATTTGTCTTGTTTGCGAGCTTAATTTCTATCTCCAGAGAATGACCTTAACTCCATTTTGGGGAAGGCCCTGGCAGTAACACTGGCCCTGGGCCAGGCCTTATGTTAGCAGTCGGGAATGGAGTTTTGATTCAAATGGGGGCGCGCGCGTGCGCGTGTGTGTGTGGCGGGTGTGGGGCTGCCTTGCTTGCAAACCCATGTTTGAATGGGGTGTTCCTGCGCGCCTGTGTGTGTGT